CCTGTTATGCACGATGAATGAAGACCTATCTTTAACTACCTTGCTAAAAGGGTGAGCATCCCTAATGTGAGTCTGGTTCCTAAGTCAAATATAACTAGTGCCAAGCCATCTGCAGAGAAGAGATCTATTGATGACTCATTTTCAGATACACTTCTCAAAGAGAAAGCACTTTAACTTTAACCCAATGCCAACAGGCGCCACAGGCATGGCATGTATGTACATGCCATGCCCACTGTGAGTTTACTTGTTTACTTGTTTTTACGCATATATGGTTATATTTTTTACTAAGTCACCAATGAGTGAATTACGATTACTGCCTGTATAACCCGTTTACCCTTTTCCTTGAATTATGAAAATATCTAACGTTATCTTATTTTGTTTATAACATTATAGTAATTATAATGTTTATAATAAAAATAACACCATCGATATTCATAGTACTAGTAAAAAATATGTTTTTCCCGCCCATTCAAGGAAAGGTGAAATTAGGTAAGGTCATAAGGTCTACTAATTGACTCATTCATGGCTATGCACTAGCAGAGCCATCTATGCCCAGGGACATTGCACAAAAATATAAAAAATGCCCACAGCATTTTCCCTGGTGGCATTGGGTTAAACACTTAATAACTGCATTTTTTAAAGAATTTTCACAGAGGTAAATTTTGATTATAGAAGGAAGAACAAAATTAACCCATTGCCGCCGGGGAAAATGAACAAAAAATGGGGAAAATGCTGTGCCTATTTTCTATACTTTTTTGTTAAATGTCTGCTCATAGATGGCTCTGTTAGCACCTGATTTGAAATGGCGGGAAAGACGTATTTTTCACTAGTGCCATGAATATCGATGGTGTTATTTTTATCATAAACATTATAATTTATATAACGTTTTTTAACATTAGTAACAGCAAAATAAGATAATGTAAAATATTTCGTAAATCTAAGTAAAGGGTGAACGGGCGAGACGGGCGGTACTCGTAACAGGCTCATTGGTGATTTAGTACAGGTGTAGCCATCTATGTGTGAAAACAATTTAACAAGTAATCTCACAGTGGCCATGGCATGGCATGCCCGGCGGGAATGGGTTAAGGAAGCAAGAGCCTTCAGGGGTAGTGAGGGAATGAAGGGCAATATGTGGGTGTGGCTAAAGGAAAAGTGTCAATCAGAACAAAATAGAGCACTAACAGTAGAAAGAGCAACAGCTTTTTAATTAACCTAAACAATTTTTTTTTCTTATATATTTATTGAATAACAATAATCAGCTTATCCAAAGAAAGGGGAGAAAATATTCCTATTTCTAATTCTTATTTTCTGTAACCTTGATAAATCCTGGCACAGCAGCAGGTATGCTTTCATAACATCCTGGCATCATAGACAGTCATGGTGATAAAATCTTCACATTCATCCCAGCAGCTGCTAGTTCCAATCCTTTTCTGGTTAACCCAACAATGACAGGCATTGGACAATAGCTGGCAACTCATTTATGAGAGATTTGTGTGCCTCATGCACATGTCCTTTACCCTATCGATGATATCCATTATCGATAGGGTAAAATGAGTAAAGATGATGAAATATCAATATTCGTAATAAATGTGTAACTGACTCACACTGGCTGTAATAAAGGAGTCTGTAGTAGCCCATGAGTGTGAATTGATACTGAACTTCTGTTATCAGTCCCTGATTTAACAAGGTTTGCAAAGAAAAATCTAGCTTTGGGTAAAGATGTTCAAAAATTCCAATGCTCAACCCCACAGTTATTTCATGCACAACATCCATAAATGCTTCTTGCATTGCTTTTATTTACCAAGTATATATGGTCCCAATGATACTGGATATCCTTATCCCAGGGGAGTATTATAGCACTTTATGGAGGCTTATTCATATATCAAGCATGGACTGGCTGATTAGGATATGAATCTAGTTCAGACTATTTATCATACTGGGTAGCCAGAAGTGGCTACCCAGTGCTACAAATGCACCAAAAGAAAGGTAAAGTAATGTTTTGTTATCTGTATCATAAAAAAATAATAATAATAATATTCAAAGTTTTGTAATACAACCTGCTCTGCTAGTTACAATGGGAAGGAATAACATCCTGAGTATGGAAATATTGTCCTCCCTGGAGCCAGCGGTCTTCTGGTGAGGGCTCACAGAGGGTACATTACACACTTGTTTACCGATAGAAATAATGCAAAATCCCCCTTCCTTAATGCAAATCAAGTCTAAACACTATTCAAGAACTTTGCGCACTTATGGCAAGTCATTCCTGTCACCCTAGACCTCAGCTAAAATTCTCATGAGGGCATGTTCCAATCATCCTGGCTCTCAGTCACATTTTTTCCTGACACCAAAAAATGTAGATTAAGATATGAAACTTTTACAAAGAAATAATTATAAGCCAATAAACAGATGAGCATATATCTGGGCAACAATTTTCTTTCTGTGAAATATCTAAAATAGGAATTAGCCTACATGTCTGTAAAGGAAAAAGAAGGTTATCTCT